AAAACATGCTATTATTATTTGTGAATACATTTAGTATATTATGCAGTCCATATCTTCATTCCCTTGTATATTCACTCTAGAGGCAGGTTGACCTCAGGAAGGAACAGTGACATTAGGTTAAGCTAATCTCTTCAATATAGGGCTATTCCTAGAAGAGACAATTGACTAAGAGCTGCCAGCAGTCTGTACTGATGGTTGGGGAAACCATTTTTGGTCTTTAAAAGCCATCTAATGTATTCCAGTATCCTGCATCAGTGAGGTTTATTCCAGGAATGTAACACAATCAGTGTGACTCTCTGTATTAATAAAATGAAGGGTAAAACTCACATGGTCATCTCATTACTGACAAATATCAACATCCATTCATAATTTAAAAAAAAAATTCTCTTCAAACTAAGACTACGAGGGAGCTTCCTCCAATAGAGGGCATTGGCAGAAACAAGCAAACCAGTCACCGTAACATAAGTATCCTCCTTCATAATAAAATACTGATTGCCTTTTCCCTAAAACTGTATGAAGCAAAGATGTCCACTATCATCACTTTTTTCCCCCACAGTTATACTGGGAGTCCTATCAAGTTCAATAAAACAAGAAAGAAAGGTACCGGGATTGAAAAGAAGAAATGAAACTGTCATTATACATCACATGAACATTCATGGGAAACAGTCAAAAGTCTCTAGAGATAAAATTATTTAATAGCTACTTTAGCGAAGTTATGAGATATATAGCGAAAATACAAAGATCCTCAATGAGCTCTACGTACCAGCAATAAGCAATTCATTATAACAATTTTTAAAAAATATTTATTTGTAAGTCACAATTCAGAGACAGAAAAAGGAAGGGAAAGAGGGAGAGGGAGATAGAGAGGCATCGAGATAGAGAGATTGAGATATCTTTCATCTGCTGGTTCACTCCCCAGATGGCCACAGCAGCAGGAGCTGGGCCAAGCCAAAGCCAGGAACTTCTTCCAGGTCTCTCATGTGGGTGGCAGGAGCCCGAGCACTTGGGCCATCTTTCATTGCTTTTCCCAGGCCACTAGCAGGGTGGTGGATCAGAAGTAGAGCATACGGGAATCAAACCAACGCCCATATGTGATGTGGGTATTATGGGTGGTATTTACCTGCTATGTCACAATCCTGGCCCAGAATAATTTTAACATATTATCATTAACATTGGAATAGTGGTATAAGATACTTAATAAATTTAACAAAAGATGTGTAAGCTATTTACACAGAAAATTGTAAAATATTATTGAAAACAGATTTTAGGGGCTGGTGCCTGTGGTGCAGTACACTAAGCCTCTGCCCGCAATGCCAGCATCCCAGATGGGTGCCAGTTCATGTCCTGGCTGCTCCACTTCTGATCCAGCTCTCTGCTATGGCCTGGGAAAACGGTGTAAAATGTCCCAAGTACTTGGGCCCCTGCACCCACATAGGAGACCCGGAAGAAACTGCTGGCTCCTGTCTTCAAATCAGCCCAGCTCTGTCCATTTGTGGCCCTTTGGGGAATGAACCACTGGATAGAAGACCTCTATTTCTGTCTCTCCCTCTGTCTGTAACTCTACCTCTCAAATAAATGAAATCTTCAAAGAAAAAATAGATTTTAAAATACCTAAAGGGGAAGAATTAGCTATTTGTAAATTTGAAGAACTATATCTGTAAAGATGTTACTTTTTCCTAGTCCTTAAATGCTGATTTCACTCAAAATCCTAGAATTTTACAGAAACTGATTACGACACTGAATTTTACATGAAAATGCTGACAGAGTAGTGAAGACAGTCTTCAAGATCAACCGTAGTTCCAAGACTTGTTACCAGATATCTAAACCTAGTAAAATTACAGAAAATAATAAAGGTTAAAAACTGATAAACCCACAAGAATTAAAACAGTATGGTACAGATAGAAAAAATCAAGAGAACAAAACGTAAAACTCAACACAGAGCCATGCACACACAGTTCTCTGACCCAGGTTACACTGCAGTGAGGCTGGGAAAGAGCAGTCTTTAATAATAAAGGTGCCAGATCAGCTGGATGTCTAAACATAAAACCTTACTCTTGTCTCCTACACCACCTCACAGAGGAAAACTAATTCCAGATATGTAGAAGAATTAAATGTAAAAACTAACACTAAAGACAAACTGAGAGATAATGTAGCTGAATGCCTTTGTTTGGCCCAGTGGTTGAGACTGGTTGGGATGCCCACATCTCACATTCCAATGCCTCTGCTTCCTACTCTAGTTTACTGCTCCCATGCACCCTAGGAGGAGAACATGATGGCTTTTCCTACTGGGTCTCTGACACCCACATGGGAGACCTGAATTGAGTTCTTGGATCCCAGCTTTGGTCTCCAAATTGGGGCCACTGCAGGTTTTTGCAGAATGGGCCAACAGATGAGAATTCTCTCTCTCTGCTTCTCAAATAAATAAAAAGTAATTCTTAAATAAAATATAATTTTAAAATAAATTACACTTGAGAATGTTTTTATATCTAAGGGTAAACAAAGATTAAACAGAAAATAAAAGGTACTAACCCAAATTATATTTAAAATTAAGAACTTCTATCCACAGATACTAATAAGAAAATGAAAGGATGTGCCACAAATTGATACGAGATATTGCAAAACAAACATGTGACAAAAGACATATCCAAAATATACAAGAACTGTTAAAAATAAACGAGAGGAAGTACCCAATTTTTAAAATGGGTACACACCTGAGTAATAACTACACAAGACAGGATATCCAAATGGCAAAATGGTGGTTAATATAATTAGTCATCAGGACATGCACAGTAAAATGAAAGAAAGAATCTGAAATGTCACGAGGAACTTAAATTTGATTCAGGTTTATTTGATTTGATTCAAAATTCCAGCAATTGAAGTGAAGTAAATATGAAGCAGGTGTACAAACCAGGAAACGGTGAGAATTTGAGATAACTTACTTGGACAGAAACTGAGGAGACGGATGCAAGACGATTGAGACTGACGAGAGTGAGGCATTTCACCATTTCTGAAGATAATGCTCCTGCCCTGTGAGGGTACCAGCCTGCTAGTCAGAAAACAGGCTGGAATTAAGTCTTACACACTTCACAAAAGGAGTAATGTTCGTTCATATAATGTACTTTCGTGGACAAAGGTAACCAGAACACTTGTTGATAAAGTTAGGGCACAAAACAAATCCTAGTCTAAACTCATGGGAAGGATAGTCAATAGCAGATGAGGTGTTCTACTGACGTCATCTTACAACAAGCCCACAAGAGACATCTACACACTGACGAGACCGAATGTTGATGAAGATGTGGAGTAACTGTGATTCTACCCTGTTGGTGGGAACGTTAAGTTGATGTAGTCCATTTAGGAACTGTTTGGCCTTATCTGCTAAGTTGAATGTATATTTACCCTATGACACAGAATTTTAATTTTTATATATTAGAAGTGAAAATATATGTATACACCACAAACTTGTATATGTATATTCAGAAGTTTTATTTAAAGTAACAAAAACTGTAAGATGACTTACATGCCTGCCAACAGTAGAATGAATGATAATTACAGTATTCCTATAATTTCACTATAGTGAAAATGAATAAATTACTGGTACATGCAATAATATAAGTGACACACCGTGTAATTAAAGAATAAACAAGTAGTATATGTTTTATTACTGTTATGATGTGAATTTCGGAAACAAAATTATTCTGAAATTATAATGCTTAGTGGCTACTTTGGGCATAGTAATGACTAGGGGGGCATTTGGCAGGCTATTGCATGCTGGCAATATTGTATAGTTTGAGTAATGATAACACAGGTATATTTATGCTTTAATAATTCATCCATCTGTATATATTTTTAATATTTATGAACTGTTTATGTATTTTGCTTCAATAAAATGTTTATCCAAAAGGAAGAAAGGTAGATGGCTCAGGTGTGTTAACAGAGCAGATAGATGATTTAAAATGAGAACTGGACTTGGCAGCATGAATGCCATCGATGCCTTGTGACCAGAGAAGTTTCAATGGAGTGATTGGGATGAACACCTAACTGGTGTGGGTTCAAGAGAGACTGAGAGAAGAGTGAGTTGAGTAAGTGACTGTTTCCCAGGTCCCAGCTGTCTTTAGGTTCCGTGATCCCTCATGATCTTGCCCTAGTCGATCCATGTATTCTTTTATCCTTTGATTCTAAAATACTTACCTTTTCTTGCTTCCAAGCCCTCTCGGCCTTTACTCTCTGTTAATACTTTGAATACTGTGCTATCTGTGTGAGCAAAGCCTTAAGCAGGTTGCTCAGTATGCAGAGAAGTAAGTCTAGGTAGAGACTCCTCGGGATCCCCCAGTCAGTCATGTTTAGATTGATAAAGCAATGGTTCTCAAATGTTGATTAGTTTAAAGTTATTCCCAGAAAGCTTGGTAAAAATGTGGCTACCTGAGCCTCACTTACTCAGATTTAGATCCTGTAGATGGGGGGCGGGGGGAGTCAGGAACCTGCAAATCTGCATTTAAAATAAGCAGCACAGGAGCTTCTGCTGTTATTGAACGACAGACATCCTGGTGGAGACCCGGGTATATTATGGACAAGCAGACAGGAAAAGGAGAAGATGCGCAGAATACTATTTGGGTGGATGAGTGCAGAATGATTCTGTCCTCGTTTGATTTTTGTTCTTTCCTGGGACCTTCAGCACCTCCATTCCAACAAGGTCTCTCAGCCCTGGAATATGATCGCATTACTTTTCTACAGTTGGGATCCCATATGCTTATTCAAAGATACCAAACAGCAACAAAAACCAAAACAAACACAAAGCTTTGCTGATAAACCTTCTTCTTTCTTTCCCTTTCTCTTTTCTTTTATTCTTCCTTCCTTTTTCCTTCTCCCTCCCTTGTATCTTCCAATCCCCCATTTCTGTTATTGTTTTCTTCCATTTTCCTCATCTTTATTCTGCTGCATGTTCACTTTTTCCTTCCATTTCTCTCTCCTTCACTCATTTCCTGTCTCTCTCCTACTCTCAGATAGAAAAAAGGAAGTTCAACCAGAACTCTAACTCCACGTACTGTATCTTCATGGTCAACAAGCCCTACGCTATCACCTGCTCTGTGGTGGCCTTCTACATCCCGTTTCTCCTCATGGTGCTGGCCTATTATCGCATCTATGTCACAGCTAAGGAGCATGCCCACCAGATCCAGATGTTACAACGAGCAGGAGCCTCCTCAGAGGGCAGGCCCCAGCCGGCAGACCAGCATAACACCCATCGCATGAGGACAGAGACCAAAGCGGCCAAGACCCTGTGCATCATCATGGGTTGCTTCTGCCTCTGCTGGGCTCCATTCTTTGTCACCAATATTGTGGATCCTTTCATAGACTACACTGTCCCTGGGAAGGTGTGGACTGCCTTCCTCTGGCTTGGCTATATCAATTCTGGGTTGAACCCCTTTCTCTACGCCTTCTTGAATAAGTCTTTTAGACGTGCCTTCCTCATTATCCTTTGCTGTGATGATGAGCGCTACCGAAGACCTTCTATTCTGGGCCAGACAGTCCCCTGTTCAACCACAACCATTAATGGATCCACTCATGTACTAAGGTGAGTATTTAGCAAGTTCATTAATTTGGCTGATTTGCATTACTCATAAAGGGTAAAATGTAGGCTTTCTGAGTCCAACAGCGTTATTTCATTCCCCAAGAACCTGTAAAGCATTTGCTAAGATTTTAACTAAGATTCTACCATTCATCATGGAATAAAGTAAGGAAAGGGCTTGCCTCAGGGCCTGACCAACATTCAAGTTCAGTTTCTGGAGTCTGTGGCCTGGACCAAGTCATTTAGCGATTCTGAACTTTAAATTTCATTTTCAACTTTTAAGATCATAATCATGATATCTACATCACAGGGTTTTTTTGAGGTTCAAATTAACTAATGTATACAGATTGCATGGCATAAAGTCTGACATCTAGTAAGCACTTAGTAAATGTTATCTACTATTTAAAAGTAGTATTTTAGGGGAGTGGTTAAAATAATGAACTTTAGGATCAACTAGATTTTACCTGTACTCTGAGTTTCCCTACGAAACCATCTTCACAATCTCTCTTGTAAAGAGAGATTTCATCAACTGTAAAACTTCATGATAATGATAATACTCATAGGGTTTTTGTGGTAATTAGAGATAATGTGTCTATAGGGCTTGACACATAGTACTCATAAAACTAATAATTTCATAAATGTTAGACTAGTAGTAATAGCACATTGCCTGATATCCTAAAATCACCATAAAATAACATGATAAACCAAAATAAATAGAATGATACATATGTAACAGAATACCCTGTGATAAATGATACAATGGAAATATGGACAGTCAAGAATGGGTATATTACCAGACATGAAGCTCATATAGTTCAAGAGAATCAGGGAATTTGCAACATGGAGAAATTGGAGAAGTCATTCTAAGCAGATGGATGAGCATAAAGAAGTAAACAGTATGAAAAGCACAGAAAATTCAAGTGATTTATTCAAGGTTATTGAGGTTGATGGAGGTGGGAGTGACTTAGGAGTCGAATATTCAACATCTCCTCAAGATGCCTGTATGCGAACTCTGAAAACTTCCAGGCTACTCTGAGCTAGATTTGTTAGTTGTGAAAACTGTGTGATAAATATGTTCATCCAGTAGAAATGATAAACTGTTAATGATACTTTCTTTCCCCTGTGATAGAGATTTCTAAAGAGTAATTACTTCTTTGAGACAAGCGTTTAATTTTTCTGATGAAGACATGCATGTATGAGAAAAGAGGAGAAAATAGGAATTGCAATGAAATATAAACAGTGGGTCTCAGAGGCTGCTCAGACAGCATGAATTCAATTTTCTGCTATCAATGTGGACAGACTTGTAGCTAAAGCTTAGCATGGTATTGAGTTCTAGCTGGTCAAAGGCCTCAAAAGAGTCTCCTAGAGGCTGACATTCTTTTAATTATTAAGCCTTAGCATCATAGAAAGAATTCAACCATAACGTGTGGGTACAAGAACTTCTGTGTGGGTGCCAGATAGTTTTTAGCTATTTAAGTTAGCAGTTGCCTAAGTACAGGCTGTCAATAGTGTATAACAAGTGTATGTTCTAGCAACACGTTTGCTAAGTCAGTTGTTTAGAAGTTGGTAACTTTTTCCTATAGAAACTCCCCTAGAAGAGTTTTGGAGTTTCTAGGGCAGCCTAAGCAAACTTATTTCACTAGTGCTGCACTATCTTATCCCCACTGCTTTGACAATCTGCAGTGAGATTGTAAGGAGGTGTTTACAGATGGCTTATGGATGTTCTCTCCATAGTTTATTCCTTATGTTTCTTCACGAGTTCATGAAACTTGCAGGAAGTTGCTCTTATTTTTCTGTGTGAGTAGGCAATCTTCTAAAAATAAGAGTAGCCTGTACAGAAAGGAGATGTTTATTTAGAATCTAGATCCACTAGAGGCTAAGTCTTACAAGGACAGTGATTCTGCCTATTTATTCACTGTTACACCAAATACCCAACGTCTTTGCCTGATGTATAATAGGAACTTAAACTCTTGATGAGTAAAACTAATGAATCATAAATGTTATTGCCCAGATCAATTATTTTAACTTAACATAATGGAAGAAAATTTTATGTTTTTCTTAAAAATCCCTGAAGTGGAATATCAACAAAGTTTCAGATAAATTCAAGAAATCTAAGACCAAACCAATGAAAACAAAAATAAGCTTGTGCCCTGTTTTCCCTACCCTGATCTTCAGAGAAAAGAATTCACATTAGTCTGCTCATGTCAATGTATTTACAAACATTTATAAAAACCTACAAAATCTGGCCGGTGCCACGGCTCACTAGGCTATTCCTCCGCCTGCAGTGCCGGCACTCCGGGTTCTGTCCCGGTTGCTCCTCTTCCAGTCCAGCTCTCTGCTGTGGCCCGGGAAGGCAGTGGAGGATGGCCCAAGTCCTTGGGCCCTGCACCCGCATGGAAGACTAGGAGGAAGCATCTGGCTCCTGGCTTCGGATCGGCACAGTGCGCCGGCTGTAGCAGCCATTTGGGGGGTGAACCAACGGAAGGAAGACCTTTCTCTTTGTCTCTCTCTCTCACACTGTCTAACGCTGCCCGTCAAAAAAAAAAAAAAAAACCTACAAAATCATGGCTTTTTCTCCCATTATTTTATATAAATGGGACCATCCTATATGTATCTTGTTTTTTATCCTTTAACAACACATTTTTGGATACCATTCCACTGCATAACATGTAGATCCCATTCATTTTTAACTTTCATAATTCTTTGTACTAAAAATACCCATTAAAATTTATTTAACTATTTCTCAGTAGCGAGCATACAGGTATTCCTGATGTTTTACTACTACCAAATTGCATTGGTTTTAGTGCCCTCATACACATTTCATTGTACATGCATCAGTATTTCTCTCAGCTATCAGAAGTGAAAATGCACTATTGAAATGCAGGGCCATTAAAAAATGTTACGTTTACCATCAAGTTGACCTTCTGCATGACTGCTGCAAATCCCATTCTCTTAGGTGGCATGTGAGAATCCCTTCCTCTTTCCTCTCACCATCACTGAATATTATCAATTAAAAGATTTATTTATTTGAATGTCAGAGTTACACAGAGAGAAGAGAGGCAGAGAGAGAGATAAAGAGAAAGTCTTCCACCTGGTGGTTCACTCCCCAACTGGCCACAACGGCTGGAGCTACGCTGATCCAAAGCCAGGAGCCAGGAGCTTCTTCTGGGTCTCCCAGGCGGGTGCAGGGGCCCAAGGACTTGGGCTATATTCTACTGCTTTCCCAGGCCATCGCAGAGAGCTGGATTGGAAGTGGAGCAGCCAGGTCTCGAACCTTTGCTCATATGGGATGCCAGTGCTTCAGGCCAGGGCATTAACCCGCTGCGCCACAGCGCCGGCCCCAGTTAAAAATACTCTCATTTAACTTGCATCCCCAAGACAATTGATTTGTCAGGTTACTCTCTTAAATTAGTTACTGGTACTGTTTATCCTTATCTGTACTACATCTCTATCTGTTCAGCCTTCCTTGTGACAACTTTGTTGCTGTTTTTCTCAATCATTTCTGAGTTCCTTTATTAAATTCTAGATACTAATCCTTTGTTATATAATTTGCTAATACAGTTCCCCATTTTCTGCATAATTCTCAAATATTATTAACATTTGTCCTAAAGATGTTTCAAACTTTGAAAGCAATAGTTTTACTGGACCACTTACAGTCGCCCCTGCTTACTCCTCAAAATGTGAGTATGTCCCACATTATTTTTTCTCAACACCATTCTTTCCTAGCTTTCCTGCTAACGCCCTAGCAAATCTTTGCTGGTCTCTTTTACACACTCTTTCTTCTCTGTGCAGTCTCTAAATATTGGAGTTCTTCAGGGAATGAGTTTTGAAACTTCTCAAAGTACACCCTCACCTTATATGGTTTCACTATCACTAACTTTAATTACCATGTTCATGCTGTTGACTCTCCTTGATTAGTGTCACCAGGTCACAGCCCTCCTCTAAGCTCCAGATCACAGGACCCAATCTGCTTCCTTGACCAGTGCCATATAGGTGTCTCACGGCAATCTCAAATTTAATGTGACCAAAACAGAACTCTTAGTTCTTTACTTCTCCCTGCTCTATCATATATTCCCTGGGTCTTTTCTATCTCCATAACATGGAATCATCCTTTACTGTGCCACCATATCCACACACTTCCTGTGGCTCTCGGGGAAAAGGGACGTATGAGGAAGCAGACTTTAAGATTTAAAAGAGAAGAAACCACTTGTATTAGAATCAGCTGGTAGCTCCGTAAAAATATGGATTCCTGGACCATTCTCAATAAATCAGGGCGGGACTAGTAAACTGACATTTTTACCAAATTAATCTTCTGCAGATTTCACTCTAAGAATCACAGTCCTAGATGTTTATGGATCAGAATAGCCCAACACATACTGGCATTTATTGTGCTTCAGGGCTTCACATAATGTGCCTTAAAATTTTAGCATCTTACAATTATTCTTAAAGGGCAGTAATTTTATTTGAGGTTAACTGGTACGATGTTGTAGAAAATACCTTTTGGAAGTGTGTGTCAGCTCAGGCATACTGTGAGCCACGTGACCCTCCCCGCTAGGGAGGCAGAGGATGACCATGTAACATTGTGAGCTAAAGAAGTTGTAGATGGGAGTAGGAACAAATCACACTGACTTCATTCTGAGGTTCTTTGTCCACTGGATAAATACCAAGGATTTTGCCAGTCTTGGTCATTACTTTATCCTCGGAACCTAATCAAGTGCCTGGAATACTATAGGACTTAAAGGAAGGATGGAAGAACACTCCTGTCACTTCTCCCGTGGCCTACCTTCTCTTCTCTTTAACTGTCTGTATGATTATTGGCTCAGACAATCCAGGGCATAGTAGGGACTAGGGTGCTCAATGTAACCTTGAAACAAAATTCTCTATATGAAATCTGCTAAGGGTTCCAGTTTTGGCCTTTTGGGTAAATAATCTCTTTCCTCCCCTCTATCTCACTACTTCACTGTGATAATGAAACAAGAGCATGAACGTGAAATTGCTTTTCTAAC